GGGGGGCGCGCTGAGGGGGGGGGGGGAGGGCGCGCTGACGGGGCTGACTGGGTCTGCGCTCGTCGGAGACACAGACATGATCCATGTGTAGAACTCCAGTGCGGAAGCGAGGGGATTCGCAGCGGTCGCAAAAGGGTTGGAAAGTGTTGCATATGGGTTGATTGTGCAGATGTCCATGTCAGCTGCCACTATCGGATTCGCGACAACGGTGTCGAGCGACGAAATCTGTGGTCCTTCCGGGTGCATGAAGTTATCGTCGAAGCGCGCAAAGTTGCCGAAATGGTCTGGGCCGACTACTCCAATGGGTCCAGGTTCGAGGTCGACGTCAAGCGGAGCATATGGGGTTGCCTCATTACCCAAAGGAGGCATAGGAAGGAGGTGCTCATGAACGGCAAGCGGCGCATGAGTCCTGGCGACGGGTTGTGCATCGTCAACGGTGGAGGGTCGTGCATCAACAACGGTGACGGGTTGTGCATCAACCACGGTGATGGGTGATGCATCAACCACGGTGGCGGGTTGTGCATCAATGATGGTGGCGGGTGGTGCATCAACGGCGGCGGCGGGTGCTGCATGAATCGTGTCGGTGGAATATCTATCCGATGCGTCGAATTGGGAATCACTATCGTTCACATTGGAATCGGCAATGGGCGGTGACAATCTGTAAAGCCCTTCTATATCAACGCCCACATCCTCTCCTTCTGACGGTTCACTCGGAGTCTCTGTCATCGAAACCCCTTCCACACTCGAGGCTGCGCGTCCGTTCAGCTTCCCTTCATCATCACCATCTGAAACCACTTACGAAACATATGCCGCAGGTGTTCAGAGAAAGGGGCCATGACCTTCTCGTCAAAATCAGCGTAGGCGCGTCCAAAGTGGGCACCATTCTTCAACTCGCCGCAATGAAAGCTGTTGGTGAGTTTGTAAGTCCCGTAATTGTTCGGACATGCTCGTGGACTTACGCAGACATGGTCAACTGGTTACTTGCGCTAGGACCGCCCCAGATGACTGTGATAGCGTAGTCGGTTGCACTCGCGAGGTTGGTGATCACGTTCCGCACAAGCGCCGGCATATTGACAACCATCCTGTCAATGCAGGTCAGTTCATACTGCAGCATACGGCCAATGGCACTTACTTGGCTCTCTCCTCTGTAGAAACTGTACTTTTTGCAGCTTTCCGAGCGTTCTTTTGGTCCCTCTGCTCTTCCATCAACGCGGCCACCTTCGCCTTGATTTCGTCGTTCTCTTTGGCGAACATTTCTTTTGCCACCGCTTGCGCCGCGCTGAGTTTGTCCCCCCTTTTTGTCAGATCGTTTTTCAAGCATCGATCCTCGACTGCCACCTTGATGCGTGTGTAGAAGTGTTGGGAGTACATCTCAGATTTGGTGAGACTTCGGTGGGTTTTTGGATTGATGAGTTTGTCAACCAGCTTATTGTTGGCATTAGCGGTCGCCCTCGCACGTGCACCATGAGGTGAGTGCCACCTCATCCAAGCTTTGAGTTGCTGACACGTAGAATTAGATTCAAGTTAGCTATGTAAGGAACCAGCTGGCATGCGCGAGTGATGCCACTCACTTTACGGCGTTTTCCTTGCGCTTTTCCATCCTCAAGCTTTTGTTCATCAGTCAGTGGTTGATCCACGGGAATGTTGCTGAAGGCGCCATAGCTCCGCTCAGGGAACTCCTCAAACCAGGCCTCACAAAACGGGGGCCAAAAGCTTGAGAAGTCTTTCGTCGGTGCGTGGCTCTCGTACTCGGGTATACGGGCCTGCAGCCATTTCTTCTGTTCGGTGGTTGTCCACTCGGATGGGGGCATCTGGCGCATTTTTGGTTAGAGTCACGTAGCCGTATTTGACAACATGACGACAACCACCTTTATTTTAGGTCCGAGGTAAGCGAGATGAAAAATGACCCCGTTCAATTCAAGCTTGACACATTCGCTCCACCGGTAACAAAGTTCAAAGTGCGCTAGCTGGCCGAAATTACACCGAATTGTACCGACGACAGTGATAATACCTATGCGACAATGAGAATCAAATCTGCACGCAAAGTTCCCGCCAATCTATGTAGTGACAACCAATGTAAGTACTTAGATACGTTTCCTGTCCATTAATAACAATACTGCTGGTACTGCTTGCCCCTTGCTAACAACTGTACAGTTAACGGAGTGTTCCGAGAGGGCTGTCAAGAACCCAAAATTAACTCCCGCCGGTTCCCACTGACCCACTTTGTCACCGATTGATCGAGGTGAATGTCGGCTCGACTTATCCGCACTTAATTAACTCAAAATAACCCTCTCGCAGATGCCGCCGGCGCCCTGGACGAGTCTCGAACAAAGGATGTGGCTTCTGGAGCAGGTCCCATACTACAGGGAGTGCGTATACCATGGTGATGTCAACACCTTCTGGGCAATCCTCTTTGCCACCTGGTTTCATCTATGGCCGGAGGAGCCCGAAGCGGGCGTTCTAACACCTGACAACTTAGCATCATTGCAACGGTCCATCACCCATCGTTGCCGAGTAAGCTTCACCTTCAACAACGTCGCCTTGTACTAACATTCCTGAATAGCTCCTTAGAACATGGATGAGAGGGATGGAAAGGCAGCCGAGACGCCGTCGGGTATTGCGTCTCAGAGGCTGACTGGGTCACCGAGTTTTTTTGGTATATATAGACTCATTCTTGTTGTGCAAGCCGTAAAAAAGACTGCTATTTATCAAACATAATGAACATCACTCGTAAATTACAGTCTACGGCCACAGAAGCCCCTTCTGATATATAAGTTCCCCTCGATCATGCGCCTCAATCAACCCACTGGTATCTGAAGACAAGACATACGCCAAAATGTCCTCGAGGGAGGTGAGGAGTTGTTGCGCCCGACGTGACGTGAGTACTGCTTCAGAGAGGCCATCACCGCATCCCTCTGCCTGTAATACTTCTGCTTCCACCTGCCGAGCAAACGTCTGGATCTCGCACGCCGCTTCTATTATCGCCTCGATATCTCCTGCAGTATGGGTGTTCACAGGTGTACTGGTGGTACAGGCTTTGAAAAGCGACTCGAGAAATGCCGAAGACGACCCTCTCACGAAAAGCGCAAGTTTCTCGTTAACGAAGGAGGGTGTAAGCTTCCTATACAATGAATATAACACGTACATCAGTAGATAATTTAGACTCGGTAGAAAAGGCTCACATTCGATTAAACTGGCTTTGACTCCCATTGCGTGAAGTGACTGGTGAAGGACTGCAGCCAGGGTATTGAGTTAGGATAGGATAAAATCGACTGGTTACCACGTACTTGACAGGTTGTCTGATCTCCGTTGGTAATGGAATGCGAGGGCGATTTGAAGGAACACTTTGGTGGTCGCGATACTTGACACACAACCTTGCATTGATGACTCCCCGGTTTCTACAGAATTGTGATCAACCCGACAGAATCTCCATCGTTGATTGATCTCACTGACACGCACCTTAGGTAGTAATTCTTCCTGGAGAGCCGTGCTGCTTCCAGCTTTTCTTGTGGTGTCTTGTGAAGACGTGGTCGCCCCATGTGGTTGGTATCGGTTATCGGCTATGCACAAACGCGCCAATCTAAGTAGCAAACTCCACCCCCTAGCATTTTCATAGGAGAATTATCCAACCACAGCCGAATGTTTTACCTATTGCTCTGGAGTCATATGCTATCCTCTGTTATTTAAGCCGTTTAATAGAACTACATTCAAGCACTGTTTATACGACCTCAGTTCATTTTTATTGTGTTATGAGACCGACTGCCGTTCATACGTTGTTTCTTAAAGT